GGGGACCCTCCAGAGGCTTTAAAGAACTCCCCAGAAGGGTACCATTGATAATGATAGAAAACCAAGATGATTGGATACCGCTCTTGATTCAACAGATCCAACTCTCCTCAAAGCCTTTTATCTCCACTATGTGCCACAAACAACCCCAATCCCTTTGTCATATGCCTTTTCATAAAAAAAAGTACTCACCTAGTCTACTTGTTTGACAGTATGCATGTCCATATGAATGCCAAATGATTTTTTAACCTTAGAATGACAATGATAAAATCCTGTTTGGATTTATTTATTTTTGTATCATCATTAACTTTCTCATATTCCTTTATTGTTTCTGAAATTCTCCACATACTTTTGACAATAGGTTCATCAAGATACATTTATGCTTGACTCAATACAGTGTTAATTTGATTTTTTTTGGCTTCAACATACTAATAATACTTTAATAATTCATCAAATAACAGGCATCCTGTCGGAGGAACTTCTCACTGGATGTTGTTCTATCAGATGCCTTTGGCCATCCTGTAAACAAGGAAATGGAGGTCTCTTCTTTTTATTATCCTCCCACCCTCAAATGCTAACATGTTCAACATAATGTTATGAAACCTGCTTACCAGCCACATTTAAATTGCTCTGTTATTTACAATGGTCAATTGCTTGTCTTCTTTAGGTTGTTGCTTCACTTTTATATGCTGACAATGGGATGCCTGTTGAGAAACCAAGAGATGCAGAAGCTCCCCTTTTGACAAGCTATGACGGAATTGAATATGCTTCTTTCAATAGACCAAGTAAACTATTGCATGGTCGTGCATCCTTTAAGCTCAAGATATCACAGGTGCATATATATGTGTATAAGGGGATTTTTTTTTTAAGATTCAATCTGGTTTATATGTACATACTATGTAAATAAGGACATGAAGAGTCGTGAAGAGAAAAACTCTAAAATGATTCAGGTATCTTACATTGTCAAATGTGACAATGTTGTATAGGGCCCAAAACAAACTTACATTTTTCTCTTCATCTTCCATCTATAGAAGTTTCAACTAAAAAATTTGATGGAAAAAAATATTGTAAATTGAAGGAAGAAAAAAAGATCTTTCACACTGTACAGAAAGATTAAAAGATCACCTATCCTTTTCCCTGTTTTTTCATTTATTTACAAATAAAAACCTCTTTTCTTTAGAAAAAAATAAAACACAAGCAATGTTCTTTCTTCTATGATTATAGTTTTCTATTACTTTTCATGAAACTGCTTTATTTATGTTGAGAGTGCCTGTAATAAAATCTAATACATATGTTAGAATGTTAGAGTGATGTTCGGCTGATAAGAGTTCTTATTAGCCCATTCTTATGTTTAACTTATCTTGTAACTGGGCTTGTGTTAATGGGTCTAATCCTGTTTAATGATTTAAGTCATCTGGGTGTCCCATCACTAATCAGGGGCATCCCAGTAATTTCTTGTACCTTGTACTA